GCTTTTTCTCAGTCTCTTTGTTTTCTCTCCTTGGCCTCCTCATCACAGCTGTAGAATACTGAGGAGGCAATTCTTACTAACATCTCAAGTGAGCCATCTGGGGTGAAAGCCAGTTTTTGTAGCTTTTTCTCTCCAGCTTCCCATCTCATTGGGACCCCACAACCACTTAAGTGTCCTCTCCCCAACCATCAGCACAGGTAGCAGGAATCTTGCTGCAGACCTCTCCGGAGCGCCATGCACTCCTCCACCACAGCCTGTACTGTCAGGGGAAGAATGGCTTCTAGGGAGTCTCCCCATGTATTGCAGAAAGTCCTCCTGGTTTACAGCTTCCAAATGGCTCTCATGACCCCGGTCCACTAGACCTCTGACTCTTCGCGCTTAGTCTGTATTCTCATGTTCTCTGAGTCCTTGTTCAGCAGCTGCTCCTCCACTGACTGTGGACCGTTCTGGTTCTCAACGGCAGGGGCAAGAACGACCCGTTGTGTGCCATATATTCTCAGGGGTTTCTCCATGTCAGAATGAGTCACGCACGTCCATGGGCGGGCCTCCGCAGCCGGTGTGGGCCAATTGTGTCGTTGCTTCTCTGTGCCATGATAGTTCTCAATTGCGCATTGGTAGCTGGCCTGAGGGCCAGCGCGCGCCACCGCGAAGCTTCCCGGGTGCCAGGGGCCCTCCTCCCGGGTGCCTGCAAGGCTGGAGGGTGGCCCGAAGGCTGGCACTCCCTGCTGCGCAGCTTCCCGGGTGTGGACTGGCTATGATTTTAGCAGAAGCCTCTACAAGGCAGGAAATGCACTCAGATACCTGTTTCAGAGCGCACCTAAAGCTGCTGGTCAGTGGAACACTGTCCTTGCACTGGTGGTCAGCAAATTCAAGAGGGACTCCAGCTGAGAATCACTGCTATAGACTGTTGCTTTAGGGGATATCCAATTTAGTATTAATTAATAGTATTACCTACTTGGGGGGATAGAGATACATTAGTGTTGGCTGCTCCCTTTTTTAAACTTTGTGTCTTTGTAGACTCCAAGTCTTGAACACCAAAAAAGGACTATAGAAAAAAAAGCAAAACTGAAAACAGTAGAAGATCATTCCAAGAGGCCTGGGCAGAATCATTTGGAGCAATTGAGCGCGATGGGAAAGCGTTCTGTATTCTGTGTAGTGAAAGCGTTATGTGTTGTACATCAAGTGTCAGACGGCACTTTGAAACCAACCACAGAAGTATCACCAAACTTGATGAAACTGAAAGGAAAGGGTTTCTTGAAGGGAAATTGAGGAAATGTCATTCCCAGTACCTTAGTTTTTGCAACTATCTTTCTTTTTTTTTGTTTTGTTTTTTTGGTTTTTCTCCGGCACCGGGAACCGAACTCACGACCTTGTACTTGCCAGGCAGGCGCTTTGCCGCTGAGCTAAATCCCCAGCCCCTGCAACTATCTTTCTAAAACAAATCATCTGACAGCCACCAGCTTTCAAATTACACTGTGCATAGCAAAACGTGGTAAGCCCCTCTCTGATGGGATTTTATCAAAATGACCATGTTGTCTGGGAATGATTCCCTTTTTTGTGATTTCCCAAACAGGATAAAATTATGGAATGCACCTCTGAGATGCCACTTAGCAGAAATACCGCTAAAGATAAGAGTCCTATGCATGGCCAGTGATACTGTGCATGGCAAGTGATGTTAGCAGCTCACCACTAACCTACAAAAGGCAGCCTGTTACTCCATGTGCTTGTATAAAAGCAGAGATATAAATAATCACGCACAGCTTGCAGTAATTTTACGTCATGCTGTTGGTGACATCATGAGGGAAGAGCTGGTGAAACTGGTGTCCTTGCCTGGAGGAACACAAGGGATGGGTGTCTACAATGCTGTGCTGGAGGCTTTTTGTCACAAGACGTAAGACCAGGAAAAGTGGTTTCAATTACTAGGAACGGGGCACCTTGCATGGTGGGGGCAACATCTGGTTCCATACAGCTCTTTGTTAAAGAAGCAAAACATCCCGTCATTCAGTTTCACTGTATTCTTCACCAAGAAGCTCTTTGTGCCAGGGAAACCCACAAAAAATGAGATGATACCCTCAAGGATGTCACAAAAGTGGTGCATGACCTCCTGGCTTAGGCTTTTAATTTTCAACAGTTTCAAGCACTGCTTGATGAGGTTTAGGCAGAGTATAATGCTTTACTGAGGTACAATGATGGCCCGTGGCTGAGCAGAGGTCAGGTTCTGGAGAGACTTGTAGCCTGCTTGGAGGAAGTTAGGCTGTTTCTGAATGAAAAAGGGCAGAAATATCCACAGCTCACTGATACGGCCTGGCTTAAGAACCGCATGTGTTTTACAGATTGTACACTACACTTCAGTGTGCTGAACAAGAAACTACAAGGTGTAGGGAAAACAGCAGAGAGGATGTTTTGCAATATCAAAACATTTGAGAGAAAACTGCAGGTTTTTGAAAGAGAACTTGAAAGTGAGCAGATGCAATATTTCCCAAATCTAAAAATGCATTTAGAAAATCCTGCATTTGCTGACAATCCCACAAGCCTCCAAGGAAATCTACAAGGAATTTTTTAGCATTGTAGCAGGTGCAAAGGAGAATTTTAGTAGCAGATTTTTGCAGTTCCGTAAGATGGAGACCACGCTGTGTTTTCTTCTCCAGATAAAGCCAGATTTGAAGAACTTGATCTTTCCCACTTCCACTGGTGAGATTGTGGAACTCTGGAAATGGAGCTACTGGAATTTATTTTTTTCTCTCTTTTTTGTCTTTTTGAGACAGGGTCTCGCTATGCAGTTGAGGCTGGCCTTGAGCTCACTTTGTACCCCAGGCTGGTCTTGAACTTGCAATGATCCTCCTGCCTCAGCCTCCCAAGTGCTAGGATTACAGGTGTGCGCCACCACACCCAGCTGGAATTTCAAGAAGGCTCTATCTGGAAAAATAAATTCTGTGACCTGTGTACAGCACTTGAGAATAGAGAGAAGACAGAGTGCGGAGGGAGGACAAAGGATGGCACAGTTGGTGGTTCTGAAAATAAAATCCTTAAAGTGTGAAATTCTCTGCCAAATAATTTTAAGTCAATGAAAGCACTTAGGGTTGCTTTTCTTACTTTGTTTGGATCCACTTATGCTCATGAACAGCTGTTTTCAGCTCGGAACTATATCAAATCTGATTCAAAAATCAAACTAATGGCCGACCTGAGCACTGCATGTGCCTCTCGCAGACTAAGGAAGTAGGAGGCCAAGGTGTGGCAAATGATCAGCGTGCACATGACAGCAAAGATCACATCAACCGCGTAAGAGAATTCCAAATGCAAACGTCTACCTTTCAATAAAAAGCTGTTGGTATCATCAAAAGCTCTGTTATTATTGTTTTTAAGACAAAAGATGTTAATGTATGCATTGTTTTTTCTAAATTAAAAATCTCAGTATTAGCAGGGCATGGTGGCGCACGCCTGTAATCCCAGCACTGGGGAGGCTGAGACAGGAGGATCGTTCCAAGTTCAAGACCAGCCTGGGCTACAAAGTGAGCTCAAGGCCAGCCTGAACTGCATAGCGAGACCCTGTCTCAAAAAGACAAAAAAAAAGAAAAAAGAAAAAAGAAAAAAAGTCTCAGTATTCAGCTTTATTGCAGTGGTAGCACTTTGCGATGCATAAGTGAGTTTTGGGTTACAATTTGGGCACTTGGTCTCTAGAAGGTCTGTCATCACTGCTTTATCTGCTCCAGACAGACATTTGTCTCAGTGTAAAACTGATCAGGACGAACCTCACGTTTCTGTGACCAGGGGCAGCTGTGCCGAAACTTCTGGCTTTGATGGCATGAAGACCACACCCCGGGAAAGTGGTGAGGAGGGCGGCCGATGGTCCCAGAGCCTTGCTCTTGCGGACATTTTCAGAACCCTTCCAATGGGTGCTCCTGTCCAGCAACAGCCACAGAAGCAAGCCACCTTCTCCCGGCTGCAGTCATCCTTGGCCCAGGGCGGGCGGCTGCCCAAGTAGGTAGCTAGGGATGCCACTCACTCGCCAGTAACAAGTCAGGCACCTGCCTGAAAGCACCGGTCAACTGTGAAACAGCGCACAGTGCCCTTCGCTATCAAGCCCGGTGAGCACGACACAGACACCGTTACCGAGTGCCTCTGGATGGGGCTGGGCCAAGCATGCGCACAGCTCATCTATCTCATGTCACCACAGCCCATCACTCGTGGATCTTACTGAGGAAGAGGCTGGGCTCAGAGAGGGTAAGCAACAAAGTCAGGGTCACACAGCTGAGCTACGCAGGAGATGAAGGTGCCACCCGAGCGGTTAACCTCAGATCCACAGCCCTGCAGGTCTCTAATGTAGGACACTTTTGTTGCTATGGCTTAATTACTGACATTACCTTCCACCTCTGCCTGGCCCCTGGCTCAGGCCTTGAAAGGGGAAACAAGCCTGCAGTTCTCCTGCAATCAACAGATATGGGGCCTTCTGAAAACTAGTGCCCTCAATGGCTTGGGTTAAAAAATGAACTTGATACTCGCTCTGTGCTCCCCGTGAGCAGACAGGGCATGGTGAACGTGGAGGTTTCCTTCATTAAAAGCAGCCCCAATCAATACCGCACAGCCAGGAGAATTAACAGTCTGCAGCTACACAGCGACAGGGACGCAGGCACGCGGTCCAGCCCACGAGCCGGACACAAAGGGACACGTGCTGTGCACACACACTCACACCCTCTGCTCACCCGGGGCCGGGGCCCCTCCTGTCGGATGTCTGGGTTCCAGGCGGAGATGTGGACAGGGAGGGGCTTCTGCGTGCTGATGCTGTGGTTTTGTTTGCGAAAATCTAGAGGCGCCCCCTTTCTAGTACTTGGGACTGAACCCAGGGCCTTCACACTGAGCTCCATCCCAGCTGTTTTTTAAAAATTTTGAGCTCACAGATCCAGAATTCTAAACGGATTAAGGAGTTAAATGTACAAGTTACATTGCTGAGGCTGGTCCCAAACTTGAAATCTTGTAATTCTCCTGCTCTAGCCTCCTTAGTACCTTTATTGCTTTTGTGTTTGGTTTTCTTGCAGCACTGGGGATTGAATTCAGGGTCTCCTGCTTGCTGAGCAAACGCTTTTCAACAGCTACATGTTCAGCCCCAAAAATGTTCCCCAAATTGGTACAACCCGACTTACTCCTTGCTCTTCTACCTTTATCTTGACAGATTCATTAGCCTTCCTAGAAATCCTAATCCTCTAGTTTACTTGTGTGCATGTGTGTGTGCGTGTATTTTCTTGGTCCTGCAAGGAGTCCCAGAAATCTCCATGCCAGGTCAAAGCTACCGTGAGCAATCTGCAGGGTTGGGACAACTGCAGAGGACAGAAGTGAGCATACTTTGGAGACAGTGCTCTGGCCTCTGCTTCCCACTGGGGGCAGAAGGCACAGCCTGCAGTGAGCGGGGCACTGCGGGGCACAGGGGGCCTTCAAGAGACGGAACACAGGCCAGAAAGAAGCTGTCATCCCCAGCTGTTCTCACACCCGACCACAAGTGAGTTGTGACACATTTATTGGGACAATCCAGGCGGCAGGGCCCGGGGTGTACAGGCGGTGCAGTGACGGACACCACAGCCCTGGGCCTGGCGGTGCAGCAGCCGCGTCATCCCACACCGCCTTCCTTCATCCGGAGAAGGGATCCCCGCTGCCAGCCCGGCGGCCCCGGAGCTCAGCCCCTAGAGCAGCAGGCCGATCGATGGGGCAGACGTTACCGTGACCGGGAGGTGCTGTCCCTCTGACCCCCAAGCGCAGCCACAGGAGGGTCCCCGCAGCTGCTCTGGACTCCAAGGCGAGGAAATGCAAAGCAAATCACTGTCAGAGGGGAAGCAACTCTGTGTACCCAGCTTCAGTGCCAACGTCCCAGCAGGAGGGTGACAAAGCTCACAGAGGCCGATGCGGGCAGGGGCTGTGACGCCGCGCCTCTGGGGCGTCTGCGGGAAAATAGTCCTCGGTCCGGTACAGCGTGGGCAGCTCGAATGCCTCGGGCGCCGGTGCCGACGGTTTCTGAAATGATGGGAAGACAGTGCTGCGTCAGTTACTGGAATCCACTTGTCCTGGGAGCCAGGAGTCCCGGCGTGGGGACACGATGTGACCAAGGTCTCTACCTCAGTGACGGGGCCGCTGTTACCCCAGAGGAAGGAGATGGGCTGCTGGTGGAGAGAAACGAAGGCCTGGGGAGCCGGGAGATGACAACACTTCCTGGACAGGCGGGGGTTTCCGAGCCTGAGCCCCGTGGGAGGTCACCACGCAGGAACTGCCCAGGAACGGGGACGGAGTGCAGGACAGGCTGGGGGACAGCATGGGCAAAACGGGGCCTGGGGAGGGGAACGGGGCGGCTCTGTCTGGACTGGGAGGGTTTGAGGGTAGGAAGAGGCAGCGTGAGGCCCGAGGAGAGGGGCTCCCGGCAGCCGTGGTAAGAACGTTGCCCCAGGAGCACGAGCGAGCCTTTGAAGCGAGACGTTGTGCGTGCCTGTGCTCACTTCCGTGTGTTTTAAGGACAGTGGCCCGAGAACGGGTGGAGGAGGCGCTCGCAGGCATGCCCTGCGGTGCTGCAGGCACGGCCTGCGGTGGACACGGCCTGCGGTGGACACGGCCAGGTTCTGCCTCTGAGCTCCGGAGGCCTTGACTTCCCACCACCCTGAGCCCCTCTCTCTGTCAAGGAAGGAACAACTCAACGATTTTCAGTGGGGGAAGCTGGCCCCGGTCTCTGGGAACCTCGGCCAACTGCATCTCCCTCTCCACATCTGGAAAACCAGCATGAGCAAGTCACCTCGTCTGAGTGTCAGCCTCACACGAGGGAGACAGAACCTTCCATCTGGTCAACCCTTGTCAGCCAGTGCTGGCTCAGCCTGCCGGGGTGACCTGAGAGGCAGGTCCGACCCGCCCGCCCCTCGCGTCCTGGCACCTCTTCCCTTCGTCGTGCCTGACGGATCTGCACAGGCACAGGTCTGTCTGCTGCTGGCATCCAGTCAGCATAGCCAGCAAGGGAGGCACGGAGGGAGGCAGCTGTGGAGACTCCAAGTTCTAGGGATCTCCCCTCCCACTGAGAACTGGCCCTTGAGGCCCCCAGGAAACAGAACTTATGGGTGGATAATGACAGGCCAAGACCAGCCTTCTCATCCTGATTCATGACTTGAAGCCAAAGAACATTCTGTGATCCTGAAAAGATGAAGTACTTTTTCTCCTGACCCAAGGACCTAGGCATGGCCACAGGCCCCAGTGGTCAGCAACCAGGCCAGAGTCCATGTCCTGGCTTGGCCTCTCCAGGTTCTCCGCGGGGAACTCCACTCCTTTTGAAATGCCTCTACCAACAGGGAGAAAAAGCGAGAGGAAAATCGCATAACTCGGAAGGAACCAAGGAGAAGGAGCGGTGAGACCTCGCAGATTCAGATGCAGTCCTATCTTCAGGCCCAGTGAGATCTGGTGCCCGAAGCTCGAGACTGTGGCAGCTCTCCTGGTGATGGAGGGAAAGCTTCACTCCTGCGTTTGTGGAGCTGGAGCAAGGGGGATGCGGGAGAGGGAAGCTTGTCGGTGCCCAGCCGAACACCTGGATGGATGTCAGCCAGCTGAGTGTAACCCCTAGGGACCAACAGGGACTCCCAAGGAACGAGTTACCCCAAACAAGCTGCACTCCTTTTGTCAGAAGTCTCACCAGCACAGAAGATGGCAAGAGAGACTGGGGAGGCTGAGGAAGCCCCGGACACATCTTGGAGGTTGCACTGGAGAGACGTGGGTGAGCGACTCAGCTCGGTGGAGAACCTGACCCGATGTCTGTCAGGTGGGGTGGCAGGGGCTACGTCTGAGGGCTCAGTGTGACCTCTTGAGCCCAAAACGTGGTCCTGGAGAGGAGGTGGGCAGGGTGAGTGCTGCTCCAAGAAGCACGGCCTGTCTTCCATAGCCATTGGTCCAGGCCTGCGCACGTGACCCAACCGGAGCCACTGAGAAATGGCCTTGGGACGCGCGCAGTGGTGCTGGGGTTGCGGTCCTTGCTGAGCAATCTGAGCTAGGGACTAGAACCTGAATGTGCAGAAGGCCGCTTGTGCCACCCCGTGTGTGTGTGTGTGTGGGGGGGGGTCCTGCTTGAGATCAAAGACAGGACAGGGAGGCACAGGAGGGAGAGGGGCAGGCGGAGCCCTAACTCATTTGCTTTCGAGCACCTGAATCTGATTCTGCTCGAGGCTAGAATAACCCCGAGGCTTTTTCCGCACAGGAGCTACAAAATTCTCCTCTCTGCTTAAGCTGACCCAGGTTGCTGTCACTTGTAACTAAGAATCCTGCCTAAAACAAATAATAAATCCATAATGGCGCCAGCACCTGCGTGGAAACCTGGAGCTCCCATCAACAGGTGCAGGCGGGTGTGTGAGGCTGCAGAGGCAGAGAATTCAGGTGCTGTGTGACGCAGGCACCCTAGCCAGGGCAGGCGAGCAGGGCCACGCCCCAACCACCCACACCCGAGGGGGTCACTGAAACCCACTTCCATGCCCACTTTCTCTCCGATTCTCATGCTAACCTGGAAGGCAAGGAGTCACTTCATGTCTGAGGCCACACTGGCAAGGGACTCAGGGGCTCAGAGCTGGGGCCCAGCTCCAGGCCTACCCTCCGCCCATCATCCCACAGGCTCCTTGGAGACAGCAGCAAGCTTGAGCCCGGACAGTCTTGCCTGCACTTTGAAATCTCACAGGGGACTTTGGAGCCCTCCAGCAGGCAAGAAGAGTCCCCTCCGGGCCAGCTGGGTAAGGAAGGAGTAACCCTCCCAGCCCTCAGGCAGGAATGCCCCACTCCTCTGGGTGGGAGAGGTCAAGACAGGAAACCTGACACCAACTGGAGGACCCGGCAGGTGCAAGTCCTCCTCCCAGCCCACACTAGCTGCTAGAGGAGCACCTGCCAGGCCTGGCCACTCTCTCGGGCTATCCCCTTGCCTGTCGTCCCTCTTCTGCCCTGCACACTTGGGGTCCCAATCTTGCAGCCCACAGACTAGACAGGTGTGCCTGGTGTGCTGCATGATTTTGTCAAACTGGAATTGCAAACCTGTAAAAAATAGCAGGCGTCCCATGAAAACCAGACTGCCAATTTCTCTTGGAAAATCAGATTATCTGGACGTCAGGTGAGCCCTACTTGAAGGGCAGTATACAAGATTCCTGACCAGTATGCCTCAAGACGGCCAGGGTCACTGATGAAAGTCAGAGACCGTGTCACAGACCAGAGGAGGCTGAGGCCATGTTTGCTTCTTGTATCAATTAAATTTTCCTCGTGACTAAATGGAATGCAGTGTCTGGGTCCAGTCCTGGAACAGGCAGGGCTCCTGGGGAAGAACCAGCGAAAGCGAATACGCTGCGGTGTTCAGTCCGGGAGGCGCATCGTTCTCGGTGCGTCCGCTGTCCCAGCACACCGCGGCAGCCACAGGAGAAACCGGTGACACGCCTGGGGCCACCGTACTAGCCCAGCAACTACGCTCTAATTCTAGAGATTTGAAATTGTGTTAAAAAAAAGGCAAACAGAAGAAATGGATCAGTTCAACTCCACAAACTAAGCCCAGCCTCTCTCAGTTCAACCACAGTGAGGCGTACTGACCACTTCTGGGCTTCCCAGCCCATGGTGGGCCCTGCAAGTTCACGGGGCGTGAACCCTCACAGCTGCTGGGAGAGGCCGGCATCTCAATCCCACCTGCAATCGAGGGAACCGAAGCCCGGAGGGTCACTTACCCAAAATGTCCCAGCTAGCAACTGGCACAACTGGGATTTATTTATTTTCTTTTTTGGTTTTGGTTTTTCTCCAGTACCAGGAACCGAACTCATGACCTTGTGCTTGCCAGGCAGGCGCTTTGCCGCTGAGCTAAATCCCCAGCCCCCACAACTGGGATTTGAACCAGGCCTGCCTAGAGCATTCGCATAGCCCCAGCCCAGAGCCTGTAGCCGAGCTGGGCTTGGGTAAGCTCTCTATGGGACCCAGGATGTCCCTGCATCTGTTTTTCCAAATACAGGCCCCCTTCAGGCCTTGCTCCTTCCAGCCACTCAAGGTCAGCTCACTGGTGGTCCCTGCTCCGCCGCTGGCCACAGATACATCTGCAGGAAGACAGGTATTTCAAGTCAGCACGGAGGCCTGGCTTTCTTCAAGAGCTGAGCTAACTGGCCACATGCACATTCCCCTGGGGCACAAGGAGCTTGTGCCGTCTGGTGTGCCGTGGTCATTCATCCGTAGGCTCTGCAGAACCCTGTGGGCATCGGGGCGGGCTCCCGGCTTGCAGAGCTCAGGCAGGCTCCATAAGGCTGCCCAGGACGCTGAGTGAGAGACGCTTTGCTTCGCACACCCTGCTCCCCACCATGGGACGTTTGGCCTGTGCCCCATCTGCTCCAGCACCCACAAGAGCCCAGACAGGGGCTGTGGCGGCCTCCTTTTTAAAGCTAAGGAAGCAGGTTGGGACAGGCTGGACGGGCCGGTGCCAGGGCCTCTCAGCTGGTAAACGGCTGGGCTGGGACTCAGAGCAGGCTCTTCGGAGCTCTTGGCATGGGCTCCCGCCATGGCCAGCCCACAGGCCTTCCCCTCGGGCCTGCCTCCCTTCTCAGTCTGAGCTCAGGGATTTCTGCACCTCAGGCCGCGCCTGGCTGTCCTGCCTGCCTGCAGTGTCTGTGTCTGCTATAGGGCCCCACGTCTTCCAGAGCGCTCTGACAGCTGTGAGCAGAAGCCCTCCCTTTGCCCGCCAGCGGCCAGGGCGTGTCCAATCCTGCCTGCGGGGCTGGTCTGGCCAGCTTCACAGAGCCAGCCCCCTTCCCACCCAGAGCCCTCCCACCCGGCCTCAGCTGGCTCCATGGCCACAGTGACTGGGGAAATCGGAGGTCGCCAGAAGCACAGGGCTGTGGGCTCCCGCAGTGGGTGACCAGTGCCTAGGGTTAGGCCCAGCAGCATGGACAGACTGTACAATCTTGTTAAGGTGATGCTGACCCTACAAAGCAGCTCTGGAAGGTTCCTGGATCCCCGCAGATTTTGCTTTTAGCTGGAGGAAAAGC